GTGATTCAAAGTGTACAAAAACCTACGGTAAACTATCCCTTATAATATCTATTTTGTCAGCGATTGATCGACTAATGGTAGTCTAATTTCCAATTTATTTTCTGACTATCATCCTATTGTAATAATTTTTTTCACTGGGTAATATTCAAAAATGCTCTTGTTTATGAAAAAATAACTATGTGATATGTCATCGATTTGAAAAATAGAATTAGGTTACCATCCATTGGTAAAATATTTTCAATGATTGATTTTGTAACATGAATCATGGTTGGACATAATAAATTAATAATTTGTTCTTGTTGTAGAAATTCATGTTGGATAATAAAATGTGAACACTGATAGATAAAAAATAATTGTTTTGGATTTAAACGAAATTGTTCTGATTCAATAGTTGTAAAAATTTGTTGATAAAATTTTGAACATAAACATTTAACAATTGGATCGATTAATGTATCAATAATATTCAATTTCGAATAAAGACGAACCAGTCGATCGATAACTTTATATTTAACATGATATGGAGAATAATCATTTTGAGATAAATCATCAATAGCTCGAATAAGTTTAGTTAAAAATGTCTCTGTTAAAAATATTTTTTGATATTTTTTTAATGGTAAATCTGATGATAGAAGTGATAATGTTGCAGGTTCAACAATTGTTTTAATTGGAGATGAAATCATTTGAACAGGAAATTTTCTTTTTTGAGGTACTTTTGTTATATCAAATTCTATTCCCTAGACTGAAAGGCTAGGGTCTAGAAACCGTAATTCACCTGTGTCTGTTTGTCCGTCTGTCTGTCTGTCTGTCTGTCTGTCTGTCTGTAAGAAGCGCTTGGCACAAATGACCATTTTTATGGCACAAATGACCATTTCTATGGCACAAATGACCATTTTTATGGCACAAATGACCATTTCCATGCCACAAATGGTCATAATCGTGGTACAAATGAGCATTCTTGTCATACAAAGTGTCATAATCGTGGTAGAAGTGACGCTGTCAAGGTAAAAAATACCATAGTCGTGATACAAGTGACCATTGTCATGGTAGAAAGTACCATTAGTCGCGGTAGATGTTGCTGTTGTCATGGTACAAAGTACCAGAGTCGTGGTACAAGTGACTGTTGCTATAGTGCAAAGTATCGTGAGTCGTGGTAATACTGACCATTTATTTTGGCATAATTGACCATTCTTGTGGCTCAGCTCAGTTTCTACGGTACAATCAACCATTTCTATGGCACAGTTGATCATTCTTATCTGCGGAATGAGCGTGTCTGTGTCACCACTAGCTAGATCAGTATTAGAAATGATCAGTACTATGGGATAAATAACCATAACTAGTCCCTAGAATCAACTAACTCATATGCTTTATCATATACATTGGCATCTTGCAACATTTTATGTCAACTGTTTGAATATATCTTTGGTATGTAACACACAACATTTTGCAAATATCAATGATTTGTCCTAAACTCATCATTGAACAGAATTCATTTTTGGTAAACAACATAAGGACATCTGTGTCATCATTCCGTCAGTCTAGGACCCAGTGAATCGACTTTCAATGTCGATGAACCTTACTTGTTTCCTCGATAGGACGTGATTTTGATACATTAGGAGATAAACAAGTAACTTTTAAATTTGGTTTATTTGCTATTAAATTTGACTTTCTACTATTTTCATTAATTGTTTCATCTCTTATATTTATTTTATCGGTTATGGGAAAAGTTTCATTTGATATCGATCCATAGAATGACTCGATGGTTTCATTTCGATATAAACATAGTTGTGATATTAAATAACTTATTGTATAAAAACAATTTTCTTCGCATTTAGTCATTGGTATTGATTGTAAATGATTAGATTTCACTAGGAGCATTTCTAATGTACGTCCAATATAGATACATATTGGATGATTAATTAGAAATGAATTTTCAAATAATCGAAGAGTGTGTACAGATGCTAGATCATCACATATAATTGTTAATAAATCTAAACAATCATTTTTTTCATTTTTATAAATCAGATTTTTTATGTATGAAACGATATTATCGAAGAATAGTTTGATTTCTGCAACTGTTACTGTGGAGTGTTCTCGACGAAGACGACGAATAAGTGATAAATGTTTTAGTAATAATGAATCCATTTTTTTTAAATCTAGAAAAGAAAGATTATATCGATTTTTCACATCATTTTTTAAATTCAAGAATATTTTTTATTTTTTGTTGAATAAATTTGTCTGCATTTTGTGTATTTTTCCAAATACGGTTTGGATTATCAAGTTTTTCAAGTTTTCGTATTTCTTCTGGTGTTCTCCATTCATTATCAATTTCATCTTCATCATTATCATTATTAGCTTTAAAAAGAGAAACAGTATCCCAAGCTATTTCATTGTCTTCTATCATTGTTTCCATATCATTTGTTGGTTTATTACTTTCGATTAATTTTTGAAGATAATCATGTGATTGCTCATTATTAAAACAAGAACCTGGATTGGAATTAAACAATGAAAAATATTTGTCTGATAATGAATAATCAAATGGTACAAAATTTCGTACAGATGGTTGATGAATGATGAAAATAGCATCATTTATATCGCCAGTAGGAGTGAATGGTGCAATATTTCCTTGAATTACATTTGGTGATCTAGTTAACCAACGTTTTATACAATTCAAAAACTCACGAATATAACTTAATGAATTTTCATCTATGAACAATAGAAATTTTTTATATTTACTAGAATGTTGTTTATTTCACGTGCTTACCTAACTTCCAATTTTTTTGTCCTCTTGAATATATATCATATTCATCAGTAGGTAATGTAGCGTCTGAATTTCCTCCTTGTAGAATTTCTTCTAAATCATCAACGATAGTTTCCAAGCTTGCTACTAACAAAACTATATCATCATTTGAAATTTTTTCATTTTTCAGTTTTGTTGTCAGTTGCTGTTGATAAACTCTTTCACGTTCAAAATGTTGTTCAGAAGTCACTTTTTGTAAAGCAATTGATTGATAACCAAATGCAGCCTCTTCATAGTCTATATCACTTTTAGTGATCTTTGGTAAAACTGTTGTTTCTCGATAGATTTTACCTGTAATACCAGGTTTTGTATGATGTAGCTAAAAGAATAATCATATTGAGATATATTTTGCAAAGAGATAAGTCAATTTATCTTTGACTTTTTTTTTTAAATCACTGATATATCATAGCACTCATCAGAATCAATTTTTTTCTTGGTATTAGATGGTCACTCAGAAAATAACTATCAATACGATGCGGTTGAATAGTATCAGATAATAGCTAACTGTCTAAATATCAAACTACTACCAGATTTTCGTCGAATACTGGTTGTGGCGTGTGATTAAAGAGAGGAACTAAACCTATACCCACACCCTTCAAATACCTCGCTCAAATTGATGAGTAAGAAAAATCATACACACGAAATACTTTTCTATTACAAAGCTTACCAGTCTAGACAATAATTTATCATATTCGAGATCGAAATCATCTTTAAAATCAATATCAATTTCAGCATCAAATAAATCATAGAATAATTCTGTAAGTATAAGTGAAGCAAGCCAAGAACTTTCTTCTATATTATTTCGAATTACGAATGGAATTAATTTTTTTTTGTTGATTTTACATAGTTCAATTCGGTTATAGAATATGTATTTTTTGAATAATTTTCACTAAATGAAACTAATATAACATCAGATTTGTCAATATAGGATTGAAATAATGATGTATTCGATGGTGTTTCACATATCGAATAACCTTTACCAATTAAACAAGTAGTTATATAATTACAAATAGTTTGATCATGTTGACAATAACTGAAATAAATATTATAAATTTTCATAACTGGATTTGAACGATTACTGTTTGTTGGAATTGAAGTTCGAGGAATGATTGGTGGTGGAATTTGTACTGATGATTTTAATTTCAAGATTTCTGACATTAATCTATATTTTTCTATTGCTTTCTCAACATTGAACATTGAACCAATTAGATGTATTTGTGAATTAGTGATTAGATCAATATTTGGTAATACTGATTTATTTAAACAATATTTATAAAAAGCATTTATCATATGTTGATCCCATTGTTTTATATCAAATTCATTACTCAAAATTTTATTTGTCAATATATGTTTTTGAACATAATTATTTATTTCATTTTCACATTTATTTAGATCAAATTTTGATGATCCTGCCAATATTATTTGAATTGCTATTAAAAGAAAAACTATTAGCTAAATTTCTGCAAGATTAAAATGTAAAGAAAGCATTGCAGACCACAACCCTAAATACTTCAACACTCCTTTTAGAGGTCATGTTTGGCAAGAAAAATAATATATTAGTTTTTTGTTTTTACAAAAAACAATGACAAATAAAGAAAATATGTTGAACATACTCGATACTAGAGAAGAAAATTGAGCAAAACCATCTTGATCTGTTTGTAATTTAATCAAGATTTGATAAAATTCTTTATAAAAATTAATTTGTTGATCATTAAACATAAATAAAATTCTCCAATCAATTTTTCTTGACTCGATTTGTTGTTTAGCTTCATTAATTAGATTATTAGCTAATTGTTCTTGTTGAATACCAATATTTTCCCATTCATTGGTTATAAAAGCTATTGTTCGTACATCATTAAAACATGTTGTAATACTTTGTAGACAGGAAGAAATAAATTTTTCAATTGATTTTTTAAATTTTTGATATGATCTATCATTATTTGGTATAATCGGTGACCAACGATGAAATAGAACTTTTCTGCCTGATTTCATTTCAAAATATCCATTATCACTTATATAATTAATAAGTTCTTCAGCAGCTCCTGCTTCAGATGAAATAATGGTAACATCTCTCTAAAATTAAAAGTATACATTCTAGATAGAACAAATAATAATTTAATCTATCTTTCATTAATAACACATACAGTATTGTCTTTTTCCTCATAAATCATAATACTTAAATAACGATTGGTATCTATGAAAATGTATGAAATGAAGTTTTTCAACTTTACACTTTTCCTTCGAGACAACTATTTGACACTATTAGGCAGGATATAGATATAAATCAACAAATGACTAACATCCTCACTCCGTATTCACACTTTTCTGTAATATAAATTAAAACCGACATCATTAGAATTCTCTCTGTTCTCTTCTGTTTTATGTGGATCACAGAACTTCTAGAACACTGATGGTAACTTGAGAAAAAGAGTTTTCTATACATGATAGGCACAGTGTACCGGTGATAATACGAAAAAACACGAGATATTAATCTTACTGGTATGGAAATGCTTTGATTTGTTAAATAAATTTCTATGGAACCATTTAAAACTGATATTTTTTTCATTGATAATGAAGAAGTAAATTCATTTGATTGTTGAATAATTGAATTCGATATATTCGATGTTTGTGATAATGCTTTTGGAATAGAATAAACATTCGTTTCAGTTTTTATTTCGATTTTTTCTATTCGACAATAATTACGTTTAGCGATTTGATAAAATTGTTTATTGTTATCATCATTTAATAATATAGAATTTCCAATTTTTTGATATTTACAAATAATTGTTTGTATCATAAGTTCATGTATTTTTTGTTTTATTTTTCCGATTAAATATTGCGGTGCGCTAAATTCTTTTTGTCGTATTCTGATTTTAACACAATCATTTTTATATTCATTTTCTATATCGTTTAATTGTTCAACACAATTTTCTAATAGGTATTCATGCTAGAATAAATACAAATAAATTTTTTCTTTTCTTAAATATTTAGTAAAGATATTACTTGATTTGAATTCATCTTCAACTGAAGTGTTTTTATTGTATGGTTATTTATAATCGATTGTAATGATTTTCTAGCTTTTTTTACTAAATTTTTTCGTCCAAACAAACTAATTTTAATATCTAATTTATATGGATATTTACAACGAATGATAGCTAATTCCGGATGTTGTCTATTGAATATGAATTGATCAATACTGGTCAAAAGATTTTTAGTTTTTTCGTTAGGCATAACAATGTTGTTCACATATAATATTTCTTTATCTAAAATCTCTGAAATATAAGCGTCAGAAACTTTAAATGATTCATGTGTAAAGTAAACCACTTTAAAATAACCACAAAACATAGCTGTTTTTTCCCATAGAGTAAAGATATTTTGATGATCCATTATTTGTTGTATGACAGGAATAATCAAATCTGATGTAATGTGATTTGACCAATAGATCACTAAAAGATAAATATGAAAAATAGAAATTTCAAATTGAATATTTATACTTTGTTGATCAGTATTTTCTATATCATAAATTTTTGTGTGTGTTTGTTCGAACAAACTTATGATAGTTTGACGAGCTGCTGTTACATTTTCTTTAATACCATTTAAAGTAAGATAAATTTCTTGTGTTTCTAACAATTGAATTTGACATTCGGTATTATGTGTATTGAGTAAATAGTTTTGTAAATGCGAATGAAATGATGGATTATTGAAAAATTTTACATTTGTTTTGATCATTTCATAAGAAAGAGTAAAGTTTTTCGTGTAAGATTCAAGCTTGTCCTTTTTACTCATCGTAATCGATCAGATGAACCTTGGAAATTGTAGCCGTCTAAAAATAGACCAGAAAAGACAGATAAATAAATTATTAATACCGGTAGAACCAGTTTAGGCGAAAAACAAACAAAAGCATCAGAATTAGGTATAGAACTGGGTGAGGGTGGGGTGTAGGTGTGGGTTTATTTATTACAATGACCCACATCCACACCCACACCCTCGGTCTCGGACGCAAGGACCTAGATCTAGGGTTCGTCGTAGGGAAATAATCGTCAGTTTCTGTTAGCTCTGTTGTTTTTTTTCAAAATGATTTCAAAGAATCATAAAAAATACAACTATCTATGCAAAATAAAAAAAAAACAAAAGATGTAGGATTGATTCGCCGTCAGAAGCAAATCTCCATCGTAAAAAGCGCAAAAGCTTGTAGGATAATTGAACAAAGATAACGAAAACAAATCCATCCTTTCCATTACTATCAGAACAAAAGCACGAAATACGAACATGGTTATTAGAAGAAAAGGAAACGAAACTAAGTTATTCGATTGTTCCTTTTATAAAATATTCGATTACTTTCAGAAGAATTCAGTGATGAAAGAGAAAAATTAAACCAAACTCACCCTTTAGATTTTTCTCAGAAAAATACCGAGCAACACTCAGAATAGACAACTAAAACAACGAAAAGAAAAGGGTGTTTTTCATTCTATTGTTTCTGTAAAATCTTCGGCAACTATAGCAGTAAGTAAAATAAAAAAGAAATAGAGTAAACTAGCTTTCCTCTTTTAACTGTTAAATTTTTCTCCAAAAAATACCGAGCAACACTCGGAATAGTCAACTAAAACAAAGAAAAGAAAAACGTTTTTTTTATTCTATTGCTTCTGTAAAGTCTTCGGCAACTATAGCAGTAAGTAAAATAAAAAAGAAGTAGAGTAAACTAGCTTTCCTCTTTCAACTGTTAAATTTTTCTCAGAAAAATGCCGAGCAACACTCGGAATAGGTAACCAAAATAAAAAAAGAAAAGGGTGTTTTTCATTCTATTGTTTCTGTAAAATCTTCGGCAACTATAGCAGTAAGTAAAATAAAAAAGAAGTAGAGTAAACTAGCTTTCTCCATTTCTCTGTTAGAAGAACAGTTAGAGTATTGATGCAATTAAACGAAGAGCAGCAAAGCGAACTAACTCCCATTTTTCCGAGTAAGTTTACGATCGCTACGAACATAGATAAATGATGAAAGAGAAAAGTCAAATTGGACCAATCGATTTGGGTTACCCGTACGGCGACGCACGACTTTAAGAATGAATAATTCAAACCAACAGAGAAAACAAATAATTTGACGACTGAATTCCTCAAATAAAATTGCTAGAAATATCATGAGAACTAAATAGTAAAAAGAAAATTCCAGTAAACCTTTTTGAGTTTTCTCAGAAAGTGGCGGTCAATACTACTGCCCATTTCAAAATAAAAGGCGGGTTAGTATTTTTTGAATAACTTTTGATAAGAGCAAGACAGAGAGCTGCAGATTTCACCATTGGAAAGAGGCTGATTCAGTGCATCGATTCATGTGAAAG